CCCAACGAGGTGCCCAAAGTGGTCTCCCTGATGCTTCGACCCTGCAGGTCAATGAGAGTAGAGAGAAGAAAGCGGACGTCGTTGTGACATCATCCTTTCGCTTGCGCTGAACTGTGCGAAAGGCACTGTTGATTCGACGATATCTCAGGCTGGAACGAACTCATTCAGCCTGAGCACTTGATCCTGGGACCACAGCTAGGCACAATTCCGTTCAAGATGCTTTGGTTTGCTTTGTGCTTGCTCCGTAGGTGCTGGCGGCTCAGCACAGGTCTTCCAAGGTCGGTGGAAAGGCCAAGAGGCGCCAGACATCTTTTTCTTTCAACTTCGAGCCTGCGCACACGAACGAATCAGACATTCGTTCAACCATTCCCTGACGAAGGTGGCCGTCAAGCGAATTTCGGGTGTGGCACACTTGGAGGCAAAGTCACTGAATGACCAGCCGACTGTTCTTAAAGGTTTTTTTTTGCCCTCGGTTCCCTGAGGCCATGAAAAAAGAAATTGACGCACTTCGAAGACTGAGACACCCTCGGCTGGTTCGCTTCATTGGTGCCTGTTTGCAGCCGCCCCTGTTGCTTGTAGTCACAGAGCCCTGGGCAGAACTGGTTCATTTTCCAACATTTGGTTTTCGCATGGCAAACTAAACGTCAACATCGCACGCCCCTGCTGCCATCATGCATGCAGCATGACTTTCACTTTATGCTGCATGCTGCATCTTAGGAGTATATGTCCGGCGGCTCGCTGCATGACTGTTTATTCGGGCCTCGGAAGACCGTGCCGCTTTCTCCGTGGCAGCGATGGACAATCGCATGTCAGACGGCGGAGGTGGAGCAAGCCAGGGAGATGGAAACTGCAAGCGAGCTTCACTTGTAGACAAGAAAGCTGCTACAATGGCAGGGCCTGTCCTTCCTGCACTCGCAGCGGGTGGTACACAGGGACTTGACACTTGCCTTAAGTTGACCTGCTGCTTCTGGCCGATGTGCCAGCACTCCGCGTGTCGTGAGGAAGTCAATGAACATCCTGTTGGACTCGAATCAGAATGCCAAGATATGCGATTTTGGTTTGGCTCACCAGATGTGCATGGAGTCGACCGCCAAGTCGAGGGCGATGGAAAGAGGGAAGCTTTTGTCGCTTTTTCCGGATCGTGCACGGTTTTTATCAGGTCAACCCACATAGCCCGCAAGCTTGATGGAGAAGGTGGCTCTCCACGCTATATGGCACCGGAATGCTACGACGCGAAAATCGGCAAGCTAACCGCTTCCTGCCATTCTTACCACGTGATTCATAGACACGCCTTCTGTACCATGCCTTGCAGACAGATGGAATTCCAATCTCAGGAGAAAGTCGACATTTGGGCTGCTGGTTGTATCTTAATTGTCTCGTGACTGCAATCAACAGACTGATTGCAGGTCCCAGACGCTTCAATAATCGAACAGCTGAGGAGCTTTTCGCAGGAACCCTGCCCTACGCAGACTGCCAAACTATGCCGCAGTTGACTGCAAGGCCGCTGGGTTTTGTGCCATAAAGCAATGCCTTTTGCCTTCTGCCATCTGTGGACTTCCTCAGGATCCTCGTTGAGAAACGACCACCAGACGTGGCAGTTGGCACTCCGCCGCAGATGGTGTCTTTGATTGGGCGCTGTGCGCCCCAGCTGAGAAAAGCATGTAAGACAGAACTCAAAACTCAGGGCAAGCAATACCTGACGTAGCTTCTGCAACGAGTGTCATTGCGTAAGCTCAAATCACTCTTTTGTAATGTTGGGAATCGTTCGCTCAGTGCAGACTCCCGATGTCTCAACATGTTCAGATGAGAGAGGAGTGAGAGGCGTGATGAAAATCTGCATCGATGCCATTTCGAATCATTCGAGTCCGAATCCTTGACTGCACAAGGTAATGTTTGATCCCCGCTGGCGGCTGGGTGCACCAGACCCTGGGACATGTTACATAGCTTGAATCGCGCTTTGAAAGCAAAGTTATAAGGTTATAGGCGGCTCAGAACTCTGTTGGGCAATTGAGGATTTGCTCAGAGAGTTGACAATGCTGACTCCCAGCTGCATTCTCTTCGTCAGTATCAATGGAGATGTGTCGGGAAACATTGCATTCGAAGTGTCGAGTGGAGTGGACACCAAGGCGTGGTGGCTGCTGAAAGCCTCACTCAGCAGCTCTCCATCAGCCAACTAGCTCACGTTGAATCATAGTCATAGACTCAGACCATAGTCACTACAGTCTCGACTGGTGGACAGCTGCTCTGTACCAGTGCATGGAAACCAAAGGATCGAAGTGTGTGTTGCTTCGTGCTCATTTTCAGAGTCAGTGCTGAACCCAAGAAGGATCCGGAAACAAGAGTGAATCCTGTGACTTCCACGGATCTGAAAAGCACGGACTGGGAATCGCCTGCAGCTCTCCATCACAAGTCTATGGAGCAGAGGACAGCTATGGCATTTTTACCTCCGCTGAGTGCACCAAAGCAGTGCATGGTTCCCTGTTCTTCCCAGGAAATGGCTTGCCACTTGAAGGGTAAGACTCAGCTGCAACACAGGACGCAAGTTCTAGACGAGTGGCTGGCTTGGCTTGTGGGCAGACAGCTTGCAAGAGGCAGGCTAGTTTGACTGCCGATGATGCGGCTGAAACGAAATCCGGCTGGCTTTGCCGCAGTGTCACCTCACCTTCATGAGAATCTGGAAGGGCAGTACATTGGTATTTTCATCTGGAAAAAAGCAAAGGTACCGTAAATCTGAAGTCCAGGTTCTTGGAGGTGGAAGATGGAGGCTTTGAGCTCATGCAGTTAAAATCAGTCGCTTTGCGTTCTCGTGAGGAGTCGACGTGTGGGCATTCGAAGGATGAATTGCTTTTTATGTTTCTGACTTTTACCTGTGCCCATAGCTACAACATTCCTGAAAGCAAATATTCCGGTTGGGGGTTCTTTTTGGGTAATTTTTATGGTTTTCGGTTCGGTGGGTACGCGATTCAGTCAGTCAGTCAGCCAGCCAGGCAGTCAGTCAGTCAGTCGGTCAGCCAACCGCGCGGTCAGTCAGTCAGCCACCCGGCCAGTCAGTCAGCCAGTCAGTCCGTCTGCCAACCGCACGGTCAGTCAGTCTGACTGACTGACTGTCAGTCAGTCAGTCAGTCATTCAGACAGACAGTCAGTCAGTCAGTGAGTGAGTCAGTCAGTGAGTCAGTCAGTGAGTCAGTCAGTGAGTCCGTCAGTGAGTCAGTCAGTGAGTCAGTCAGTGAGTCCGTCAGTGAGTCAGTCAGTGAGTCCGTCAGTGAGTCCGTCAGTGAGTCAGTCAGTGAGTCAGTCAGTGAGTCCGTCAGTGAGTCAGTCAGTGAGTCAGTCAGTGAGTCAGTCAGTGAGTCAGTCAGTGAGTCCGTCAGTGAGTCCGTCAGTGAGTCCGTCAGTGAGTCCGTCAGTGAGTCCGTCAGTGAGTCAGTGAGTCAGTGAGTCAGTGAGTCAGTGAGTCAGTGAGTCAGTGAGTCAGTCAGTCAGTCAGTCAGTCAGTCAGTCAGTCAGTCAGTCAGTCAGTCAGTCAGTCAGTCAGTCGTGCAGCGGTGAGTCGGTCAGCCAGTCAGTCCGTCTGCCAACCGAGCCGTCAATCAGTCTGGCTGTCTGTCAATCAGTCTGTCAGTCCGTCAATCCTCTAGTCAGTCGGGCTGTTGATCTGGCGTTGCACCTGCAACCAGTGAGCATGGGGTACCGGAGACTCGGAATCGCCAAAAGAGGGGGCGCGTTTAAGATGATGAACCGGAACCGCCGAATCAGGGGGCTTGTTTAAGATAGATGATGAGCCGTTATCACCAAAAGAGGGGGCGTGTTAAAGACGGAACCGCCAAAAGAGGGGGCGTGTTTACGATATTGTGTGAGCGGTTATCGCCGAATGCGGGCGCGTGTTAAAGATATCTGGTGAACCGGAATCGCCGAATGAGGGGGCGTGTTGAAGATATGATGAGCCGTTATCACCAAAAGAGGGGCCGTGTTTAAGATATATGGTGAACGGTCATCGCCGACTGAGGGGCCGTATTAAAGATACATGGTGAACCGGAAAGGGGTGTGTCGAAGATTTTTTGCATAATCTATGGTGAACCGGAATCGACAAATGAGGGCGCTTGCTTAAGATGTGATGAACCGCCGGTCCTCTTGCAAGTGCGTTTGCAAATGGGGGGGCTGCGCCCCCCCCCCAGACCCCCCCCCGACTTTCTCAAACCCTGTTTTTCTTTAGCGAACTTCGTATCATCAAGAACGCTATGGCCATTCGCGATGGTCGCAGCAAGTCAAGCGCATAACTATTCTGAGACTTTTCAAATCCCGTCCCAAAGGCCAACCCCCTCGCTTTATGTTTGAGCCACGCAAGCTAAGATATATGGTGAACGGTTTTCGCCGAATGAGGGAGTTAAAGACGTACATGGTGAAGCGAAATTGCCAAATAAGGGGTTTGCTTCAGATATATATATATATATATATGTGGTGAACCGGAATCGCCAAATGAGCGGAGTTGTTTAACATGTATCATGAGCCGTTATCGCCAAATGAGGGGGCGTGTTTATCATATATGTTGAGAACCGTTATCGCCAATTAAGGGTGGCGTGTTTAAGCTCTAGGCTGACCCGGAATTACCAGGGGGGGTGCTTACCGCTTGCAAGTGCGTTTGCAAATGGGGGCCCCCCAACCCCCCGCTTTCTTCAGCCCTGTAGTGAACTTGTTTTAGCGAACGTCGTGCCATCAAGAACGCTTTCTGGCCATTGGCGATTGGTCGTGGCAAGTCAAGCGCCTAACATATACGAGACGTTTCACAGCCCGTCCTGGGGGACCAACCCCCTCCCCCTTGCTTTATGTTGGGCCCTCCTGCTACATTGCTTCTCGGTTCAAGAAGCGGCCGTCAGGCATGGCAATGTTGATGCGTGTAATGCGTGAATCTAGCTAGGTAAACATCGTCGCGTCTCGGTACGGAAGGCAAGCAGCATCTTTGCATTTGGACAACAACGATCTTGTCACGAGCGTAGCCTGGCATGGCTGAAAAGGTGCGGCATCTGCGGCTTTCCACGCCAACCCAGAATTTCCTTGTGTCAGGATCTTATCGGCATATCAGCTCCAGCATTGGCCTTGGACGGTGAAAGCAAACACTGATGAGGACGTGTTTTGGCTTGAGACTTCGCAGGTCGGCATTGCGGAGCTGGCCGAGGATGGATGCCCAACACCCAGCCTCGCAAGAAATAGGTGCAGCTGGTGCAGGTACTTTGCAGATCCGACGAATTAGACTTGGAGGTTCCATGCTCCACATGCTCCATCTCATCGTTCGAGCTTCATTGATGCTGAGCAAGGGCGAAACCTGCTGGAAGGTATTGTTCCAAAATATCACCTCATGGAATGCAGCGGCTCACTTCCAGGCCGTCGAACGATGCCTAGAGGACTGAATCCAGAGTTGAGGTCTTTCTCTTGGCAGGATGACCATGAGATGGGTGATGTACCAAACCGACTTGTTGGGCTGATTGCTGAGGCTGGCGGCAAAGCATCCTCATTGCAGACTGTCAAAGACTGGTTTGTTTGGGATGCAAGTTGGAGCTGCGTGTCCGCCCTGTCCGGCAGCATGAAGACGACGATGAGTAGAACAGGGAGTAGTGAAAAAACCGTACCTGTGCCAGCTTCATTCTTGTGTTTCGACTTGTGCCGCTTGCCTCTTAACTTCCTGTGTTGGTGGTGCAGGCTGCAGGTCGGGCACCGGGCACATGAGCTGAACTGCCTTGGCAGGCGAGTCACCGATCCCAGTGGGATCGAGCCTCCGTGGCCGTCTATGACGAGACCTTAGCCTTAGCTGCTGATTCCGCGCATCTTCGCAGTGTGTAACCAGAACTGGTTCACCTGAATGAGCATTGGCTGCGAGATTTCACCAGGCACTCACTGGCGTGACATGCTTGCACATGCAAGGCTTCGATACCAGCAATCAATATCAGTCAACCTGTCAGCACCCATTCTGCGCAGGCGTGACTGCAGCACTGCGTGAGGCACATCTCTTGCTGCTGCACGATGAATAAGCCCGGCTGTAACCCATCCAGAGTTGATTTTGCCGAAGGACACGCTGTTGCTGACAAAGTCAGCCTCTCGTAGCTGATTCACAGTTCAAGAACGTGTTTGGGTTTTCTGCTTGGACGTCCTGCCATTGAAGGCTGCAGCACTCTATTGTGCTAGCCGTTGCTGCGTTCGGCGAGTAAGGATCTCAGCAGACAAATTGCAAACAGTCGAAAGATGCCAACCTGCAATTCATGTAAGGATGCTTGATGATGCCCTGCTGGCTGGTTCTCAAGGCAAACGGGGTAACGGTTTCGACGGTTTCGACATTGACGACGGTTGTCATGTTCGCAGGTGCTTCGCCGTCCTCTACCGGGTTCACGGAGAAGCGGTCGTCGCACAGTCCAAGTTTCAATGACTACGGGATTTCGCAAAGAAGAATGATATATGGCCAGGCTCGCGGAGCTGGTGAGGTCTTTGGCATCCTTACTGCTGGAGCTTCTCTCGGCGCTGCCAGCCCTAGCAGAGATGTTGCTGGCCATCCCAGACCTGCCAGGCCCGGTGACCGGTGGGGATGTCACAGCATGTTAGGTTAGGGCTGGCCAACGTTGGAGTTGGAGCATTCGATGAGCTCGCAGGTGCATTGCTTTGTGCTGCGAGCACCTCGCCGGCGACATTGGGAAATTCATCAAGTCACAACCTAAGCATCGTGGACATGCGGTTGCCTTCTGGCATGTTGGCACAGCTTAAGAATGGAGGCCTGCTGTCCAGCTCTGTCTCCTTCGTGGTGCCACTCGGCAAACACATCACAGTCCTTCGCTTGCTTGACACGGTCACCGGAGGGATACCCGCCTTCACTTCAGCAGGCTACGAGCCCAACGAGCACTGGCAGATCTGTTAACCTCAATGTTGGAAGAAACATCAACAGAAGTGCGAGCCGACCAGGACGGGAAGGATTTGCTAGATTCTGTTCATGCGCCGCACGAGCCGTGACGAGCCATGGGCAGAGATTCGAGTATGTGTTAATGGGAGCACGAGGAGCTCCGGCTTGGTGCTGCTGAGCCTGGGGCATCTCGCTTGGTGGAGACGCTCATCCTGTCGCGTCCTGCATGGAGCCCAATTCATAAAGTGTGCAACACTGGTGTGGATCATCAATGTTTTCTGCACAAGGATCCGAAGCTGCATCAACTCTTGCTGGAACTGCGTCTTGGCAATATGGTCAGAGATGAGAAGAAAGTAGGATCAGTGCAGATTCGCGAATGTGAGATGCTCAAGGCTGTGGCGGGCACTACGGCGAGTACCTTGCCAGTCCCCGAGATCGTAAGTCTTAGCCAAGCTGGCAAACAAAATTCCAGATGTGTTCTCATGTCTCATGGTTGCAACAAGCTACTTGAGAAGAGAGGTCCAGCTGGAAGTCTACATGCCAAAGACGTGTGGTGGCCCAGAAACGTCATCCTGCACGGCTGAAGCTCTGTCCGACCAAGGCGGCGCCTGCCATGTGCTTGTTCCGAGAGCTGGCAGGCTCGAGACAGCAGCAGCAATTGCAACAGGCACGCTGCAGAAGGTTCAATCGCGGCAATATCAAACTCTTTCAAGCATGCTGGAAGGTGACAGGTGAGCAACTGCTGGATTGGAACTTGGATCTCGCGCTGCAAATGAATCGGCATCCCAGTGATGTTGTCAGTCTCTCGAACTGCGAAGTGGCATGGGGGAGTTCCTTGGTTTATCTGTCAAAAGCAAGTGGTCATTGCAATGGCGGTTGCCCTTGCTGTGCTGTCAAGGTTTCCGCGCGCACCAGTGCGTGGTGACTTTCTCATCTTACAGCTTCGTGCTGGAAGGACACAATTGCATTGTTTCTGCAAAGCAGGCCTGTGTTATCATGAAGCAGCACTCCTGCCTGTGTAATAACTGCGACAGTGCTTGAAGCGGCTTCGTCGAAAAACGATTCTACATAGGCTGGCTAAAAGCTTCTCCGTTTGTCCTTCGATCTCCTTAGGCAGCACGCTGCACAGCAGCACCCTTCCTCAATGCCATCCTTTCCACAGTGGTCACTCCCTAAGCAGTTGTAGAGCACCATCGACGATCATGATGACCAGCACCAGCACCAGCACCAGCACCAGCACCAGCACCAGCACCAGCACCAGCACCAGCACCAGCACCAGCACCAGCACCAGCACCAGCACCAGCACCAGCACCAGCACCAGCACCAGCACCAGCACCAGCACCAGCACCAGCACCAGCACCAGCACCAGCACCAGCACCAGCACCAGCACCAGCACCAGCACCAGCACCAGCACCAGCACCAGCACCAGCACCAGCACCAGCACCAGCACCAGCACCAGCACCAGCACCAGCACCAGCACCAGCACCAGCACCAGCACAAAGCGTCAGGGCCCGAGAGGTTTCAAGTGCCCCGGTGTTCTTTGGTGGTGTGTTCTGGGCTCGGTTCTTCAGGGATTCAGGGTGCTGCTCGCCACTCCTTGCCGCTTCGCCCTACGTCTCTGACCTGGATTGTTCATGCACCCTTGGTTCAGCCGCACGACAGCAAAACTATGGCTGAACGGCCCCGACGGAGGGGTGCCTCTTCTGCAAAAACAGATTTCCGACTTCACTGCTGTCGTCTACAGCCCGTGTTTGTGGTGGTGATCCACATGCCACCTCGACGGTGGAAGCGAGGACGCAGTTCAGCACAACAACCTTTTGAACAACGGGATGGTTGCATGACTTACGTGATGATGATGAAGGAAGTGCCGCAGAAGCTTATGTCCAGAGCTATGTGCATGAGAGTGACGATGGTGAAGTAAAGGAGACGGCTCAGGTTGAACTCAGGCTTAGGCTCACAATGACCGTAGCGGTGAATCCCGAACCTTTGACGTAGCGAACAGATCAAGATCAGATGCCGCATGAGCCGCGCGCAAACATCGTGTACATCGTTCGAGGAGTTGCGGTATGGTTCAGCGTTGGCTTGCTGATCTACCGGAAAATGTTTCGCAAATCAGTCGAGCCGAAGCCCAGCGAAAAGAATTTCGTCCTTGCAAACTGTGCGACCGTGAAGCACGGAGGCTGGGCGGTGAGCCACGCTTCTGTTTATTCAACCTGTAAGTGTTGAGCTTTCTCCGTTGGCGATGTAAGGTTGTAGTGTCCAATACAGCAGTCGCGTTTGTGCTTGAAGAGGCCCATCACCAGTGTTTAAAGCAGTAGAATGCGGCATGTACAGTGTAACAGAAGTGAACTGAAGGGCGGTAGACGAATGTCTGCAGAAGCACTCTGTCCAGTTTGAGTGTGAACAGCCCACTTTGGAGGTGCGCTGTTCAAGGGAAGTTTCAAACTTTTACCGAGCGTAAACCACCTTTTCCACGTAGTGTTTTGCTTGTGCGAAGCTTGCCAAAGACCGTGTTGCGAACCAAGGCTCAAGTGTGTGCGCGCAAAAGTCCGCTTGTTTTGTTAGTAAAGCCGTTTTTTCAGCACGTATGCTGTCTGGATGCCTCTATCTTGGAGGCCGTGCATCCAGAATACCGGGATCTTCGGGATCTTCTTCCTGTCAGGTTTGACGTCCCCTTCTTGAGGATGAGAGCGAGGAGGCACTCTTCTTGCATTACCTCGACTTTCTTGACAAGCGAGATGGTGCAAGACAAGCGAGATGGTGCGACAGGACGGCCGAAGTGCTTCGTCCAATGAGTTTTGCTAAGGACGGCGCGGATCCAGTCACACCGACTTCACTGCTGGGACACTGGCGGGTTGAAAGAGCAGCTCTAAAGTCTGGCCAATTGCAGTTTTCTGACCTCGCAAGTAGCAGAACTGATCCTGAGAAGAACGCTCCGATGGCGCGACTTTTGCAAGCTGACGAGGAACTGATGCATCGCGCTTGAGGTGCTTCCGAATGCCATGGAGCAGCTAGGATGATCCGGATGCCAGCCACCCGGCCCAGTTTCACGAGGACGAAGCAAAAGAGGTTCTGGCTCGGAACTGCAGTAAGGGCAACGGCAAGCGAAGCTTTAAGGCAGTCCATGATGCGAAGAAGGCCAAGGGTCTGGCCAAACCGAGCTGCTACGAGGTGGGACACTGGGCCTGCGAATGCCCAGAACGTGAGGAGCTGCTTAGCTCGGCAGAGGCTTCCCGGACTTCGTGATAGCTCCGTCAATCTGCATCCAATTGCCTCAGGCTCTTCCAATTGAGATCGGTGGCATTTAGCCATAGTTTCTCAAGCACACGTACAGGAGACTCCTTGTGGTGCACACGTTTTAAAAGGGTTTTTCGGTCTCGAAAACTACCACTGTCACTCAGTGGTCACTTCACAACAAAAACACACTAGACATCTCCGGCGCAAGCTTGGTGGCAGCACTGCGAGCACAAAAAGCTCCAGACTGCAGCCCATCCCAAGCACCAGGAGGATTCACAAACACAAATTTTTCGATCTTCCAAATTTCGGCTTTCGTGAGACGAACCATGGGCAGACCCTGCGCCAAGCCACCGCATTCCGAATTTGGAAGCACACCATGTTCTTCCATAAACTCCACACCGCGTCACACCAGCCCGGGGCGTGAGTTCCACATATTGCTCATGCCTTTCACCGTCAAGATAAGATGCTGTTGCTGTCTTTCGATGCCACTTGAAACTTCCACCAGCTTCCACGAGCCGACGAACACTCAAACGAACAGTTCCTTGCAACGTCCGTCCGTTTTTGGTCCTTAGGATTGTTTGGAGTTTGATTTGAAGGTAGTGAGCTGTGTAGTGTTGCTGGTGACATGGATTACAATTCGCTGGATGATGTACCACTTTGTGTAAGGATGAAAGCTGCAGCAGGTTGACTGTGGCCACGTGCCCAGCGACTACACATTGTTACCGACAGCAGCCCTCAACAAACACAGGTGATGAGCCCAAACGCTCCAAAATCCCTTTCTGCAGCAAGTGCTTCAGTGGCGCCACGGCTTCAGCACTTCGACGAGCCATAATCAGAAAATGTAGTGCGCATGGATGCAGCACATGCTGAAGGTTCAGGCGCCAGCCGAAGTTCTGAGATTACTTCAATCATCAGCTGCAGTTGTGGCAGATGCGAAGTCCATCAAGGAAGCTACCGCTGGGTCACCCGCAAGCCGCCTCAAGGGTACATAAACGATCTTACAGTGGAGCTTTGCGTAGAGCACTCCAGTGGTGATTGGTGCAAAGGAAAATGGAAAACCCTAACGCCAGTGCTCCATCTCCTGGCCTCGAGTCCAATCCAAGAGGGCCAAGAAGCGCTGTGGCTTCAAGAGCTAGCAGGATCCCTCCGAGGGAACTCTGTGGTTGGGCCTTCACGGGGCGAGCGCTGTCACGGATTTAGGGCAATCCAACTAACACCAACCTTTGCTTGATAGGCTTACGTGTTTGTTCGCATGATTGTCAAGTGGGTGGCCCTACTCCCGCTTGTAAGATGGTTGGTCTTTTTGAGTATTTCGGGTTGGACATTGTGTGAGCCCCGACCTCAGTGGTCCTTCGCTCCTTTGACCTTCGCTAGAGCGGCAGACGACGGCAGTAAGCAAGGAGTGTTCATGGCTCATCCTGACGAGTTGACACCTCCTCTATCGGAAAACGAGGTTCAGATTACACAGTGGCCCGTGGGTCAATTCCACGAGCATAGCTGTGGTATCACATTCGCCAACTTCGCATCCTTTGAGAAGCATGCCGCAGTCAGAACCAGCAGTTGTTGCGCAATGATTCTCAAAGGGTTCGTGAAGGAGAGGGTTGTCAGACTTGGATTCAGTGATAAAGCCATTCTTTCCACAACCATTACCTTGGGTGACTCCGTTGTCGGGTCAGAAGAAGTCCGTGCAGTTACCATTGTCAACATGGCACAGTCGGAGGACGAATTCTTCAGCATACCAGAACCTGACGAAGTTATTGAGGTTACCACCACAAGTAGGGTTGCAATGTTCGCGGAGATTAGGAAATCAGATGCCAAGCCGGAAGATTGGGCAGCATTCGATGCCCAACAAAGTTTCGAGAACTACTTGAGTCAAGTCCTGCAGTCGACTACGTCAGTCGATAAGGTCGTGCAGCATCGCACTTTCGTCAAGGAGGACTATTTATGTCGTCGCATGCAGGTGCCCGCTGATGATCGCAATCAAGTTTACAGTCGTAGTGGTCTACGATCTGTGCAATTCCGAGCCGTCAGGAAGTTTGAGACCCTGCGGAGCCGGGGCTGGAAATCCTGAAGGTTCACTCCGAAGATTCCTTAGCCGATCTCGCCATCTCCCTCCAAACAATGCTTGTAAACCTCGGAGTCTTCTAATCCCAGAGCCAGATCCATTACAGGTCAGAAGCTGACCGTCATCTCGCGGCGGCAAGGCGAAAGTTCTTTCCCAATGACGACAGGTTCAGTGAGTTCAACGTCCATGCCAAAAGCGTCTTTCATTATCGGGCGTTGGGTTTTCCAATTTCGTCGCAGTTCCGCAGAAGGTGGTCAACCTCAAAGAGCTGTGCATTGTCTTTATCACAGCTCCAGCTCGGCCGATCGTCAAGCGATTCAACACATCCATCGGCGTTATCCAGTTCGAGGAGGTAGAAACGCGAAGGAATGTTCAGAAAGGCAACACCATGTCTGCACCGCAACCGAATACCAAGGGCAAGGGCAAAGGCAAGTTCATTCGAGCCCCACCTTCATCGTCGACTTTGCCTTCCACGCCTTCGAGCGCTTCAGGGCCCTCGGTTATTCCCACGTCAATTTCAGCACCTACCAACCGTGTCTCCCAACTCGAGAAGCAAATGGAGTTGGTGCATGCGGATGTCTCGGGCCTCCAGTCCCAGCAGGAAGCTGCAAACATACAGCTCAAGGCATTGTCCGACAAGCAAGACAAGGGATTCTCAGATCTGTTGTCAGCGATTCAAAGCTTGAAGGCCCCTTGCGAGCCTTCATCGCCAGCCTTCCCATCTCCACCACCAAAGTTCGACAAGAAGAAGTGATGAACACACCATGTGAGTGGTTGAATCTTGTGATGTTCTGCAGCCTCAGTCTGTGCAAATGGTTAGTCTTCGTTTTCCTTCTGAGCTTGGGGTCTTTGAAACCTTGTTTGATGGTTTGGGTGACCCTTCGTCTCTTTTTTGCTAGGCTTCGCTTCAAGGGTGGATGCCGTTCTTCTAAAAGACCAAAGCTCAGAGGGCTTCGAGCCGCGCAACGACACGTTCGCGCTACACTAGCCTTTGTGTTTGATTTGTAATTCATGTGAGAGGTTTTGTGCTGCGCTTAGCGCCCTGCACGCCGTAGATTTGCCCGTGTCGCATGCCAATCCAGGTGCGTTTTTGACATCGGCATTTCGCAGTTTGTTAATGACGCAAACTTGGCATTCGGATGAGTGCCTTGAGACGCCTGCTTACCCGGCTTACCCAAACCACCTCAACTTCACAGTTTTCTGTCCTTGCAAGGGTTTTCCTGGTGAAGGTCCTGGTTTAAGTTTTCGTTTCTATCAACGTTTCCTCATGTGGGAAGCATCGCAATGATCTCGTCGCTTTAGCCGCTGACTCTACGTCAGGAGGGTCTCCGACGGACTTTGTTTTCATTCAGGAGTCGTGCATTCCTTCGCATTCTGTTTCTTTTCTCATGCCACAGAATCATGGCGGCCTTGCCGCATTGTTTCCAATAGGAGCCGTCATGCAAGAGATCTCGATCCCTGAGGATTGGTTTGTTCTTAGGTCCAGCGTTCAGTTTCTTTGGTGTTCCTCCGACCGTAGGGGTTTTTATGCTGCCAACGTGTACCTTCCTTCGGGATCTGACAACAAAGCCTTGCGGGATGAAATGCTCCGTGCCTTGTTCGAGTTTGCTGCGACGTATGCTGAATGTCCTGTTTTTATTTGTGGGGATTTCTAAGATGATCCTGACGGTTCTAGCCCCATCCAAGAGGCCCGTTGGTCCTTCTATGCAATGCAGCAAACTCTGCGCAACCTTCCGATTGAAGCATCGTTCACGAAGACCAGCTGGAAGGAAGGGTACAGCATCGGTTGCGGTAAGACGCGCATCGATTTCGTTTTGACTAATACCAAGGCCTTGACCTTGGTTTCCGATTGCAACTTTGAGAGGGGATGCGAGGCATACGCCTGTTCACACTTCGCTTAATTGCGGACGTCTTTCAAGAAGAGATCTTCGTTGTTAAGCCTCATCCCTTTGGCGCAAAGCCCTCCGGTTCTTGCGAGTGGTCCTGGCGGGAAGATATTTGTCAACCAGTCCTTGATGCTCACAAAGATAGGTTAATCGGGGCCATCGAAGCCAATGATGTCGAAGAAGCTTGGAGGATTGCTTGCATGATTGCTACTGAGATGTTGAACCTCATTGTGGTATGCAGGTTCCTTCTAGCCGAGGCCGACTACCCGCATTTCGTAAGAGATGGGGTTGACAGAGCGCAAATCAAAGTCGACTCACTCGCTTGTGCATACGCCAAGGCGAAGAAGCTGTGTCAAGAGTTGCTCTTCAAGGCTGCCAGGTGGCCTCCGCATTTGGTTCGTATGTTTGGACAACACTGTTCAGAATTTTAGTCGAGTAGCCTCCAAGTTGCAGCTCGGAGCTCATTTGGATGTTTCCTCACCAGAAAACCCCCGAGTTTCTGTAGAGACTGCTCTTGATGAAATACGGAAGTCTGAAGTGAATGATCAGCGTAGGTCTAAGCGATGCTATCGCTGCTTGGTCCCCCTAAAGTCTTTCTCGATGATTCCGGTTCCTTCGTTTGTTCCCCGAAAAACATGCTTGCTATGCTTACTTCGCATATGCAAGAGATTTACAGCCATCACTCCGAGCTTGATGTCGAGCATCAGTTTCGCCAGTTCACCCTTAAGTACGGGCAGCCAATTCAGCGTATTCGGGCCGAGTGTGTGTTTGGAAATCTGCCAACAAGTGTAGTGGCTTGGATGGTTGCAGAGTTGCATCAATTGCCGCCGTGCGGGTGGGTAGGGTTTACATTCGTAATGAGGTTAACCGAGGCCTCTGGAGCGTGGCCTGCTGCTATTCGTAGCGTAAGTGTCTCTAGCCTTGCCAAACATGATACCGTTCGATCTCCTGAGGAGGCAGTGCTTTTGGAAGCAGGGTTATGTCTACAAATTCGGCGGTTCAAAGGTCTTGCTCAAAGTAAATCAACCCTTTCTTGCAACCAAACAGGTCAGTCTTTGGGTTATTTCTGCGCGCACATCGGCTAAAAGTCAAGACTCCAGGGTTGACAAGGCGGTTAAGGTTGCTAAGAAGGTGGCGTGCTTGCCTACTTCATTTCAAAGGTTTTCATGTTCATACGAATGTTCATGCCAAATGGTTATATGGAACAGACACAAGCCCCTTCAAAGCGTGCATTGCATAAGCTGCGGACCGCAATTGTCAACGCTTTTGTTGTCAAGAAGCATAAGTTGCGTTGTCCATTCATGTTGTTTTGAACCCATCGCGATCCATTCTTAGATCCATTCTCTAAGTGGGCTCTCCATGTGTTTCAGAAACGGAAGCGGCCATGCCACATTACCCAAATCCCGAAAACAGCCATCATATGTATATTTAACCCTCCTTCCAGAAGGGCAGTTGGTGTAGTGGTATCACACCCGCTCAGCATGCGGGAGGCCCCGGGTTCAATCCCCGGACTGTCCATCTTTCGCGCTTGCTGCTCTTGCAGATTTTTGTTGATTTCAGATTCTCAATAGTTTTTTTCAGCGTCATAGAAGTGGTACAGCTAAAGCTGGTTGTGCCCGCATGCTAAGCTGGTCTAGGTGTGGGCTACGCTAAATCAGGCGGAGTTTTGGCGGCCTGCTGCAGCTTGTTTTGACCGTTGCTTTGCATTTTCCTTTGAGCTTTTGGGAAGTTCCAATTGCTTGGAGCATGTGCCATTCCGATTGCTGAAGGGCATGCGTGCGGCAGATGTTGGAGAGTCGGCACTGTTGAGCGATTGCAGTTGAGGAGACCACCGAGGAATTCCGTTTTCGGTTGAGCTGGAACCATTGCTCCTCGACACAAAACTTGAAAGGGTTGCTTCGCACTTCATGGGGCAGCTGCACAGCTTGCCAACCCACTCCTCCCAACCCACCCCCAACCTCCTCACTCCCAACCTCCTCCTGCATTACATGAAGTTTCTCTGAACGTGTTGCATCTGAGGAGGGCTGGGAGGAGGTTGGGAGTGGGTTGGGGGTGGGTTGGAAGGAGGTAGGGTCGGCACATCTCCGCGCTGTTTTCTTCTTGATTCTCTCCTGCTTCTCTGTCCGACGAATGCTGACGAGTCAAGAGGTCTTTTATGCCGGTGTCGCTAGGCAAAAGATTGGATCCGGCACACACTCTAAACCTCCAAACAAATCTGAACCCAATAAGTTTTCAGTTTTTCTGTTCATTGCAATTGCAGGACTTCCAGAAGATGATCGGGAGGCCAGACTTGTTTGCATTCCTACTCCTATGCCAAGGACAGTTTGCCCGAGTGGTCTAAGGGGGTGGACTCAAGTTCCACTAGCGCAAGCTGCGTGGGCTCAAATCCCACAGCTGTCATTGGTTTGATTATTATTCAAATAACGCAAGTCTTCAACAATCAAGTCCTGGCTTCAACCTGCCAGGGTGAGTCAGGCTGGTGCCTGGACATGGCTTCAGTCCATGGGGCATGGGGACATGCAGGGGCTCGATTCCCCCTCTCTGGCGCATGCGTCGGTCGGGACAACAAAATGCCACCCAACAACTTGGCTGCTTTGCGATCTTTGTCGCGTTTCAACTGCGACAAGGCTTGGAGGGTGGACCAACGCTAAGTGCTGCCCGACGATGGCTTGAGAAAAAACTCCCTTTGGAAACAAACTGCAAGCAGTCAAACGTGCTTGGTGTCAGTATCGCCCATCAGCACACACAAGGTGCAAGCGGTCATGCATGCATGTCTGTCGCACTTCAGAGATCTGAGGCAATCATGCAGGAGCATGTCACAGCCTCTCATCATCAGTGCAACAGCTGTATATGCGATTGTTGCAGTCTTAGGTTTCACAAAGACAAGCAGGAGCAGTATTTTCTTTCCTCGAATTTGCCAAAAAACTTAACAATGAGTTGAGAACTTGTGACACCATATGGTGTGACGGTGGAGCAGTGTGCGGCATTGTGCTGATGAAAGGTGTGTTGTTCAGGGCTGATCATTGTATTGATGTGATGGTGATGATGATGTTGTTATTGTTGTTATTGTTGTTGATGTTGTTGGTGTTGTTGATGTTGTTGATGTTGTTGATGTTGTTGATGTTGTTGGTGTTGTTGATGATGTTGATGATGTTGATGATGATGATGATGTTGGTGTTGAAGCCCCTCGGCTCGCAGATCTTGAGGCCCTGTCTGTGGGTTTCTGGCGGTTCGGGGTTGGGGTGTCTTCGCGGTTGTGTGTTGTCTTTGGCGAAAGCTGCATGGAAGATGCAGAGTCGGATCATGGCATGGACTCTTCTTCTGATGACGTGGGTGCTGGCCGCACTCCACGAGATGAGGCAAGAGATGGGCCCCTGCCACAGGGGCATCCTGGCTATCGGCCTGCAGGGCCACCGCGCCCACGGCCTGTCAACGGTCCAGATCCATATGACGACCAACCACGACGACCAGAGGAAGACCGGAACGAAGAAGGCCACAGAAACGAGCCGGGCAGGACGACGCCAGCGAGGCGCCCTCGCCCGGAAACTTCTTCATCGTCCTCAGACTCCTCCTTTACGCATGACAACAATGAACAGGAGTCGACTGAGGCAGCAGGAGAGTGCGAAACAGACGGTTGGTGGTCCGACACGTCTGTTATCTTGGAAGGCGATGAACTGGCAGAGGCGAGAGACTTCTTTATCAATCTGTTTCGGCGACAGCTCCGGGACCAGCATGCTGAGCTCAGTAGCCGCTCAGTCGCTGCAAACTGCTACAATCTGCTTGGCAAAGTATACAGACTCTGGCCTCCCAGAGGCTCACCGGCACATTTCTGCAAGAATGGGCGACCTTCGAATTCCGAGCCACTCATGCCTACCATGCCGGCGATCGAGCAGCCCCGTCTGGCCACTGAAAGGCTGGGTTCGACTTGGGATCTGACTCCTGTAGGACGCCCTCGCAGTTTGTGCAATAGACTCTTTCAGGTACTTGCCGTCTTGCACCCACACAGCCCGAGCACGCCTTTCTCTCGTGCCCGTAGGCGTGGTGCAGCTGCTGGCAAGCACGCCACCAGCTGTGGCAAAGCACCTGGCCAAGCCTCAGGACAGCACCGTCGTTCTGTCCTTTATCGAATAAAGACCTCCCTCCCTAGGCTTCCCCAGTTCCCTAAACTCCCTAAACTCTCCGATGCTTCCTTCCTTAAGCACCTCTTCCATAAGCCCCAATGTAACCGAACCCGACGATGCCACCACTGCAATCAGACTCCACAGCAAGCTGTCCCAGACTGCAGTCAGCCCCAACATAGGGCGACATTGAGCCGCTCCGGTCCCAAGTCCGGAGACCATGGATTCATGTTAAGACCTCATAAATTGATAGTCTGGTATGCCATGGTAGGGGTGAGGGTGTCCTCTGCTGCCGCCACAGAGGAAGGACCCACAGCTGGAAGCCTTCAGCCAGTGGGGAAGCCAAGCGGCTCAGCGCACAGAGGCGGGGAACATCGCTCAATCCCAAAAAGCACGAAAAGAGCATTCAATCGAGCATGCAAGCGAGCCGGTCAGGCTCTCAATGGAGGTACCTGGTACAAAGGCCGGTGGCACAGCCGTCAAAACCTGGCAACCCTAGGACAAGCCACCTTAGCCCCCTCTGGCAGGAGGGCAAAGCAGCCACGACCGCAAAGAAGCAGGCCGGTCCCGAACTTTTCAGTCTTCGTGTGGAATACCGGGGGCTTAAACTCAGGCATGCTTCAAGAATTTATGGCTTGGTGCGAAACGCAGACCAAATATGATGCGATTCTTTTGCTTGAGACTCATTGGAGGGAAACCTCCGACTACCGGAGCGGCCATTGGCATTGCATGCATACTTCAGGCTATGGGCCTGATCAACCTGATAGGTATGCGGGCATTCTGTGCATGCTCTCTAGCAAAGCCTTTGCAATCCCTAGTGTTCGAGAGGTCGTCCCAGGCCGTCTTTTGCAGATCCAAGCCCAGCATATTGCCAGCAAGCGTACAGTCACACTGATCGGTGTGTACCAGCACGTCCACCGACCACAACTAGGCGCACACAAGAATAAGGAGATTCGGGGTCAGGTTTGGCACAAGCTACAGCAGCTCGTCGGTGCCATTCCGACAAGGCACATGATGCTTATTGCTGGTGACTTCAACTCAACCCTGCAGCCAGAACACCCCCACGTTGGACCTGCAGCTCCTAGTCGGCAATCGCATAGCAACTATGACTCGGCCTTTCAGGCACTGGTGCGAGACCACCGCCTCACAGCGGCCAACACATGGCACTCCAGGCCGTCCCACACCTTCACAGCCCCGGGTGTTCAGAGTCAAATCGATTATGTCATTGTTAGACTGCAGGATGCGAACAGAGGAGCCCGTTACTCCTCGCCCATGTCGGGATTCCCGGTGGGTGCCCATCGCTGCACCAATCATCTGCCCTTACACCTGGAAACTAGCCTCCTCCCATACGAGTTCCAGCCACAATGCCGGCATCGATCTGCTTGTGCCCACAACTCCGCTGCTCTTCAAGCAGCTGTGCTCAGCAATTCTGCCCAGGCTCAGGCCCTTTTGGACTCCGTGGAGCGTCGCCTCTGACTTGTGTGGGGAACATGAAGCAGTCAACATCATTCTCCAAGAGGAGACCTGCAAGTTCTTTCCTCCGACAGGTCGCAAGGGCTGCCGGGTCAGTGCTCAACCCGAGTTCCGAGCCTCAGCCAGTGCCACCTGGGAGTTGCATAGGCGATTCCGTCGCTCGGGGTTGTTGCTAGTTCGGAACATCTTCGACCGCCTCAAGCACTACACTGCCTTTCTTCGAGCCTCCAAGGCCCTGCGCACACAGAGCATGGCACTGAAAAAGCAATTTCTCCAGGATCGCATTGCACAGGCCGAGCAGGCTGCATGCCAGGGGGACCAGCGAGCTCTGTTTCAAGTTGCCAGGCAACTGGCACCACGCAGCCACAGGGGCACCATCAGGCTGCAGGACCCTTCGCAGCAGATCTTGCCCAGCAGATCCAGGCACACCTTCAACCTCTTCTTGATCACATGCCACAGTATGCTTACAGCCCCAATCGGGGCTGCAGCGATGCTATTTTGCGAGTTCACCAGCACTTTGAACAGGTGGAGCAGCTCCACCAAAGCCAGGCCAGCAATAGATTTAATCTTCGTTCGGAAGCCACTCGCCTTACATGCTTCGGTGGAATGTGCTTATCGCTCGACTTGTCAAAAGCCTTTGACTCGGTGTGTCGTGACAAACTCACTGAATCGCTCCTTGACCACGGTGTCTCCCGAGATGTTGTGGGTGCCATACAACAGCTGCACAAATCCGCACGGTATGTTTTCCGCCTTGAGCAGGCCACCGGCCAAACTATCACCACCTGAGCAAGGCTGCCGTGCAGCCCCTACGCTGTGGCTGAGCCTCACTCTCTCCATTATGGAGACATTGACACAACGTCGCAGTCTTGCCTGGCTCCATAGGTGCCTCACAGCCTTCGCTGACGACTTATGCAGCTGCTGGCGAATCACAAGCAGCAGTGACCTCCTCAGAGCAATCAGTGACCTAGAGCTCATTCTTGAAATCCTCGCCCAGTTCCGACTGACTGTTAACTTGCAGAAAACCGCGCTCCTCATGAACGTTCGGGGCAAGGCAGCACGGAAACTCCTAGCCGAACGAACCGTCCACAAACAAGGGGAGCCACACCTGCGAATTCTGGTCAATGGGCAGGAACAATTTCTTAAAATCTGCGATTCGCATGTCTACCTCGGCACTAAGATTGCCTACAAGAATCGCCGTGACCTCAATGTAGCTCACAGGATCTCCGCAGCCCAAAGCCGATATCAGCAGACCCGAAAGGTTCTGAATGGTCGCAACCCGCTCAGCACCAAGCATCGCCTTAGACTCTGGACTGCCTGCATCAATAGCTCCCTCTTGTACTCCCTTGAGGTTGTAGGCTGCACCCTAAAAGGCCTTCGCAAGCTTCACGTGCTGTGCACCCGCCATGTCCGGGCAATCCTCAAACAACCTGCCCACCTCTCCCATACCACGAACCAGGCTGTCTGGAGCACCGTTGGTCTGCCTACGCCTGACTCCCAGCTTGAACACCGCATGCAGAGGTTTAAGGCTGCTAAATCCCCGAACCTTTCGCACCACGGGCCGGACATCATCTGTAACGATGAGGTTCAGCTGCAGATGGCGGAGCTCCTCTCTCATCACCGTGCGCTGAGCTCACAGCTGGAAGCTGAGCGCGCCTCCCCACAAACTGCTGACTTAGATCCGGAACCCCTGCTAGGTGTAGTCTGCCCACACTGCGACCGGAAACTTCCTAGCCCCCATGCCCTCCGCATTCATGTTGGGTTGGATCACAAGGATGTCAGCAAGGCTCCACGGCCCAGAGTCGCCTTCTCAGCTACTGCACACGCCATTGACGGCATGCCGACATGTCGCTTGTGCCACAGAAGCTTCACGAAGTGGCGGCAACTGAAGCTCCACATCGAGCGATGCTCGTGCCCCCACCTTGGGGGTGCAAGTTTCATACTTCATCCCCCTGCTTCCGACAATCACCATATGTCAGGTACCAGCCAGAACATTGCGAATGAGCGGGGCACCGCCCCGACCGACTCTTCCGATGCTACAGCACAGTGCGAAAAGGAGGCCTATGTACCACTGATTGCCCGACCTGAGTTCTACGGCAACCGCTCACGCTGGGAAACCCTGCTCTCCTGCCGTGACACTAAGGCTCAACTCTCCTGCAGATGTGTTCTTTGTGGCATGTGGATTGCGACACCCAAGCATATGAAGCAACACTACAATCGAACACACCATACCTCATTTCCAGATCTCAGAGATGCTGCCACTGCACTCTGTGCCACATTCAAGAGCCAGTTCACCAGGAACCGTAGCTGCAGATACTGTGGGACGAACGTCGGGGCTGCCTCCAGGCACTCCGTTCAGTGCACAGTCCTGCATCAACTCTGTCTAGCCACGATTTTCTGTCAACGTAACTTGCACCGCCAGGATGTCGGGGACTCTGGAATCGGAGATCTTTGCTCACTGCATGCCCACGGGGCAACTAGGAGCAAAGCCGGCCGGCTCCTCTCCAGCACCGGCCTCTCAGCCGGAACAGCCTCAGAAGCGTCCGAGGCCCGACCAGAATACCAGGTTTCAGGGGCGGCGGAGACCGTTCGGACCGAGCAACGGCTACCACTACAATGCCCAACACCCCGTGCCGGCTCAGATGCCAATGGATCCTACCATGAGATTGATGAGCAAGCTGCTACTCAAGCACGAAGCAGCCCTATCAGGCCTGCGCCAGGACAAGAACTACGTTCTCTTTTTCAGGCAGGACGAACACAGCCTGCTGCCCAATCTCATGCAAGTCTCCAAGGAGTGGCACGACAAACGAGCAGCCGGGGACATGTCATTGAAGTCGCCTCTCAAGACCGTGTTGATGGGATGTCTTCTCAAAGAACTTCTGGCACGACTCCAGAGGGTCGCATCGACAGAGCAAGGACGGGCCTCGCTCCAAAAGGCCCAATGGATCCAGGAAAACGGCTCCTGGAACTACTTAAAGTGGAACCCCAAGGAAAGACGCTTGGTCCCAGACGAGAGCAAGGAGCCCTTGACACATGCAGAGGCCACCAGAACCCTCAGCACTCTCCACGAGCAGATGTCGGGAACAATCATACAGCACTTCCAATCCACACAACCTCTGTGGAAGCTGTCCGAACAGGGTCACCAGCAGGCCACGTTTCAGCTGGAGATCGCTCTACGGGGAGAAAATGCCGAGGACACTTGGCTCCACTTCCGCACACTGTGCGGACTGGCGGTCACGAACCTTGCAGGGTTCTCGATGAAGGTGGACGACCTCCCGCGCCAACACTTGGCCAAGGAGCTGGCCAGCCTCACATATGTGGGAGGCCCGCTGCTGTCGGTGGTCTTGTTACGGCTGATAACCACCCTAATGCTCCCCCGCTTGCCTCCTCCCAAATCCCACGCGCCATCATCGACCCCAACCCCCTTAGCTTCCCGGCCCTAAACAACCCTGGCAACCACTGCTATATGAATGCCTTTGCCAACAGCATGTATGTTCTTGAGCAGCTCCTGTCCATTAGTATCCTTCCGCCATCCTTCCGAGCCGAACCTGGCAGGATACTGAGTGCCTACAAAGCCTTCGGCTTCTGTATGCTGGGATGGGGCAGGCCCCATGCTCAACATGACATCGTGGAGTTTGCAGATTTTGTTCTGCCGAAACTCTTGCCGGACGCCCGCTGTGTCTCATGGCAAGCCCGCCGATCCGAGGAAGGCGTGCTGCGCATACTGGACCAATCTGCATTGAACCAGTGCCTGTCCCTAAGCTTCACGGAAATCACCAGCCCTGACATCCAACAGTTGCTCTTCAGGTGGCACCATCAGTCAGGACTGCATGCACTGACTAGTCAGGCACCATGGCTGCTCGTGCAATTGCCACGTACCGCGGCCGATGGACCCCACTTGAGCAAACGGACAGATCAATTCAGGATGCCACGCAGCCTCCGCGTTCCGGTTTTCGAACAGGCCGACAGTCTTGACACAGTATGGTGCCGGTACCGTCTAGTTGACCATACACCATGGCCGCTGCTTCACATCAGGTCACTACTCTACTTTGATTCCTGACGGGGCGGGGTTCAGACTTCTAGACGACAACCGAGCGATCAAAAAGGCCACAATGGCTGAGGTTCGACATGCATCCTGCAACTCCTATATGCTGCTCCTTGTGCTGCATGATGATCCAGACCCACAGCACCTAGACTCCTTAGCTTTTATCGTGCCCTCCAGCCATGTCAGACAGCAACGACCAGTTTCTGCTTCGCAAGTACGGGGATGCATGGGTGACGGCCCACATGAGCATCATGAACTACCAAATCAAGGAATTGGAAGTGCAGATGCAGCTCATGCAACGTCATCTGGACAAGGTGCAGCTCGAGCTTCATTCGATGCAACTGCTGATCCACAGACATGCATACTTGTACAGCAATCGCAGAGTCAACAAGATCCGCCACAACCTCGTTCGTGATCTGCATTCGCTGGACGATTGAGCATCATGGTTAAACCATGATTAGGCGCTTTGGCGCGTTCCCCCGCCCATAAGGGCATTAGTGCCGCTGCTGCCACGAGCAGCCGATGCCAGCAGAAGACTGGCAGTGAAGGCGCTCGCTAGTAGAGTCGACGGACCTCTCTACTGCGTATGAAGAAGATGTTGGTGTTGGTTGATGTTGATATGTTGATATGTTGATATGTTGATATGTTGATGTTGGTGATGATGATGATGTTCATGTTCATGTTCATGTTCATGTTCATGTTCATGTTCATGTTCATGTTCATGTTCATGTTCATGTTCATGTTCATGTTGATGATGATGATGATGATGATGATGATGATGTGGATGTTGATGTTGATGGCGATGTCGATTTTGATGGCGATGTCGGGGGAGTATGCGCTTAGCATGCGAATTCCCTGGGCTCGAACCCTCTACACGGACACGGTAAGACTCTCAGCTGGCATGGGCATTCGAAGGTCCTTCGGGAGGCCGAGCCTAACCCACTGACGATCCGGGTGGTCGGGTGGAGTGACAAGGGCGCCAGCTGAACAACGACACTACTGGTTTTGTTGGTGGTGTTGGTGGTGTTGGTGGTGTTGATGTTGATGTTGACTTTGATGTTGATTTTGATGTTGATTTTGATGTTGTTGTTGATGATGACGATGATGATGTTATTGTTGATGATGATGTTGTTGTTGATGATGATGATGTTATTGTTGATGATGATGATGATGCTGTTGATGTTGTTGTTGATGCTCCTGCTCCTGCTGACGCTGGTGCTGACGCTGGTGCTGGTGCTGGTGCTGATGCTGTCGTGTGGATATGTGACGTGTGATGCGGATAGGTGATGTATGATGTGAGGATAGGTAATGTGTGGTGAGGAGGTGTGGTGAGCAGGTGTGGTGAGGAGGTGTGGTGAGGAGTGTGTGGCGAGGATATGTGGACCACGAGTAACGAGTAAGTACATCGCTATGATGACCTTCCCACCCAATGCATGTCATCACCGCAAGCACCAGTGGCTCGCTGGTTCCAATGGCTGGCAAAAGGTCTTCAGCCTTTCATTCGATGATATTGCGCTCATCGAGTGTGTGGTCAGGATGTGCGTGGCGAGAATGTGTGTGATGAGGGGATGAGGAGGATGCTGTGACGATGATGATGATGATGATGAAAAAAAGCTCTGTTTTTGTGGCGATGATATGACAGTTTTAGCACGAGGAAAACGATGTGGGGAGGGTGGGGATGAAACTGCAAAGCTGAGGGTAATTCAAAATAATTCTATCAAGACAGCAGTTGCCGAGCCACAGGGCTTCGTCAAGTCACGGTGAGCTGACATTAATTTTGGAACGAACGGATGCAAACGGATGCATTTGCACTAGACTTTTGCAGGCAATCGAAGTTTGCGAAGTACCCTGGGCATATGCTTGGGCCTTTCTTGCTCCGAGTGTTTTGAATGTGTTGCTTGGGAAAGAAGGTTCGGAATCCAGATTTGGCCGTCGCTCGCGGCATTCCACTGCGAAGCTCTTATTGAGAAATTGGCAGAAGGTTGGGGTCGAATGCGGGACAAACTTCAGGCAGTTTGCGGTCACGGCAGCACCATTGGTGCAGCTCGGAGCTGTTGTGTCGACGGTGGCTTCCCAGTTGTCGCACACCTACAATGGTCGCATTGGGTGATGTGTGTCCATCCAACTGGCATGAGGCTTATGCCCGAAGCAGTTATGACGATCACAAGTTCGGCCAGAAGCTCAAGCACTTGTTGAGGCACATGTTGTTGAAATAATGTGCACGAGGCCAGCGAAACGGACGTTGGAGGCTTCCTATTGGCAGCCAATAGGCTGTTTCAAGGTGGACATGAACGCTCCCAGGACATGTTTGCAATCAAAAACTGACACTAGCTTTGCATGTTGACCTTTGATTGCTCATTCAAGAGGATTTCAGCACCGCTGCCAACACGCAGGATTCGCCTGCTGACGCCAGAGCCCACGGTTTGATTCTGTTTTCGCCACTGATCGTGTTTGCGTCGCACAGGTCAGCAGCAACGATGTCCTTGTCACTCCCAAGAAAACACGCTCGGCTGTGCGATGCTGAAGCGCGGTGTGAGCGAAGGGTTTACGAGCAGTTGGTTCGACAGCTTTCCCAGGTTGCGGTGCTCACGCCTGGTGCCGACACGGCCCGAACCTTTGACTGTTGGCAGTGACTCTCAGAACTGCATGTGCCACGCTCTGCCGAGATAGTCACGCCACCGCCGAGCCAGCTGACCTTGGCCTTTCGCTGCAAAGTAAGGCTTGAATTACATGTGTTGCCAGACAGTGGAATAGCTCTCCGTGAACCCAGGAAAGACATGGTCGGCATGATGGCAAGACGTCCTGCAGTCAACGAGGTTGGTGCAGCAGCATTGCTGACTTGCTTCTCGCACCTTGACTTGGCTCCAGGTGTGGCTTTGACCCTGAGCGTGGCAGAGCCGAACAAGGCCGACGTGGTATCAAAGTAGTTTGGCCGTTCGGTTTTGCTGGTTCGGAACCTGTTCAGCCTGCTTGCTCGATGGCTGCATTGGTGGTCACGATAAACTGATCAGAAACGGTGGCATCCCGGTGTTTGTTCTGTTCGGAGCTCGTCCCTGAATTATCATAACATCAAAACCACTCATGTCGACATAGTTCGTCCTGCACTTGCTGGTTTCTAACAACGTTGTGGAGAAAACAGGTGGATGCGGCTCACACCCCAATGAGGCCTTAGCATCGTTGGCTCATGCCTCATTTGCAACAGTCGCACTCGAAGATCGTACCGGCTCAGGCATGGCTCTCAGGACTTGCATGCAACGGTGACATGGGTTCGTGAAGATGAGGCCCTGTGCTGTTTTAGACAAGCATGTGCCAAGCAAGCGAAACAAGCAGGTCTCGCACACGGGCCTGAAAGGGATGGAGGTGGCTGCTGCTGGACTTGCACAGCTTGCCGCGACCACTTCGTCCGCAAGTGAGCATGACGACAACAATGTACCAGCAGAGAGACTTTGCGGCAAAGCAAATTCTTTTCGCATGTTTGTGCATGTATGTGCCAGTCAAAGCAAGCCAGGAACGTAGTGGAAGGCAAGAGCGGAACGCCGCCAGCTGATCCAGAAGAGCAGGCTAGTGGTCCGGGAAAAGTCATTTAGTGAGGCTGTTGGATGTCGGTTGTTGCACGCTGGGATGGCAGGAGTTGAGCAGCCAGCCAGGAGGAACAAGTGCTCGCAAGGAATCCCAAGCGTTTGGAGCAGCAGAGAACTTTCCTTTCAGCGAGCAAGACCGACAGATTCAGGCATTCCAGTTTGTTGTTGCCTGTTTGAGTTGCGGGCTCAAGTCACTGCTCGGATGTGACTGAGTCAAGCGAAGGCTGTTGAGACATCAGCTGCGTTCGTGGCGACCGCTCCGTCGGAGAGAGGAGTGAGCCTTGCTTGCAGCGCAGTGCTGCGCAAAGTGCATTCCGTTATGTACCACAGCGACACGGCGAGCAAGCTGAGTAAGCTGAGGATTCGAGACAACTTTGCGCCGGCAGTGCCACCGGCCGACCGAGAAGAGCAGGCAAGTAAGTGGCCAGTACAACTCGGTTTGGCGATTTAGCTTGCATTGCTGCCACTGTCAATTTGGGAGATGAGTCCTGAGAAGGTCTCCGAGAGTCGTGTTTCCCAGCATGTCCTGCAAGCAACGACTCCTTGGCGGCATTTGCCTTGGGTCCACGTGCTGCGAGATGATGTTTGGACTCATGTGAGGAATGACTCCGTAGACCAGTGCGTGTTGGAGACAGCGGTCCGGCAAGAAGAGGCCGTTTCGATTTGTATTGCACGCGTAGCAAGCCGGCGATGAGCATGCGGGCATGTGAGGCCATTTCAAGCCCAAAGAGAGTGCAGGCAGTTGCAGAAGCGGAAGATGTACAGGCACTCACAACGACAGTGCAGCATGCGAGCCTTGACTGCGATCAGTTTCGTAATGTGTCCACATGACAGAAGCGAGCAAGTCAGGAACGTGGTGGGAAGCAAGAGCGGAACGCCGCCAGCTGATCCAGAAGAGCAGGCTAGTGGTCCGGGAAAAGTCATTTAGTGAGGCTGTTGGATGTCGGTTGTTGCACGCTGGGATGGCAGGAGTTGAGCAGCCAGCCAGGAGGAACAAGTGCTGGCAAGGAATCCCAAGCGTTTGGAGCAGCAGAGAACTTTCCTTGCCAGCCAGTCAGCGAGCAAGACCGACAGATCCAGGCATTCCAGTTTGTTGTTGGCTGTTTGCGTTGCGGGTTCAAGTCACTGCTCGGATGTGACTGAGTCAAGCGAAGGCTGTTGAGACATCAGCTGCGTTCGTGGCGACCGCTCCGTCGGAGAGTGGAGTGAGCCTTGCTTGCAGCGCAGTGCTGCACAAAGTGCATTCCGTTATGTACAAGCTGAGTAAGCTGAGGATTCGAGACAACTTTGCGCCGGCAGTGCCACCGGCCGACCGAGAAGAGCAGGCAAGTGGTTAGTACAACTCGGTTTGGCGATTTAGCTTGCATTGCTGTCACTGTCGTTGGGGCCAAATTAGGAGATGAGTCTTGAGAAGGTCTCCGAGAGTCGTGTTTCCCAGCATGTCCTGCAAGCAACGACTCCTTGGCGGCATTTGCCTTGGGTCCACGTGCTGCGAGATGATGTTTGGACTCATGTGAGGAATGACTCCGTAGACCAGTGCGTGTTGGAGACAGCGGTCCGGCAAGAAGAGGCCGTTTCGATTTGTATTGCACGCGTAGCAAGCCGGCGATGAGCATGCGGGCATGTGAGGCCATTTCAAGCCCAAAGAGAGTGCAGGCAGTTGCAGAAGCGGAAGATCTACAGGCACTCACAACGACAGTGCAGCATGCGAGCCTTGACTGCGATCAGTTTCGTAATGTGTCCACATGACAGAAGCGAGCAAGTCAGGAACGTGGTGGGAAGCAAGAGCGGAACGCCGCCAGCTGATCCAGAAGAGCAGGCTAGTGGTCCGGGAAAAGTCATTTAGTGAGGCTGTTGGATGTCGGTTGTTGCACGCTGGGATGGCAGGAGTTGAGCAGCCAGCCAGGAGGAACAAGTGCTGGCAAGGAATCCCAAGCGTTTGGAGCAGCAGAGAACTTTCCTTGCCAGCCAGTCAGCGAGCAAGACCGACAGATCCAGGCATTCCAGTTTGTTGTTGGCTGTTTGCGTTGCGGGTTCAAGTCACTGCTCGGATGTGACTGAGTCAAGCGAAGGCTGTTGAGACATCAGCTGCGTTCGTGGCGACCGCTCCGTCGGAGAGTGGAGTGAGCCTTGCTTGCAGCGCAGTGCTGCGCAAAGTGCATTCCGTTATGTACCCCAGCGACACGGCGAGCAAGCTGAGTAAGCTGAGGATTCGAGACAACTTTGCGCCGGCAGTGCCACCGGCCGACCGAGAAGAGCAGGCAAGTGGCCAGTACAACTCGGTTTGTCGATTTAGCTTGCATTGCTGCCACTGTCAAATTGGGAGATGAGTCCTGAGAAGGTCTCCGAGAGTCGTGTTTCCCAGCATGTCCTGCAAGCAACGACTCCTTGGCGGCATTTGCCTTGGGTCCACGTGCTGCGAGATGATGTTTGGACTCATGTGAGGAATGACTCCGTAGACCAGTGCGTGTTGGAGACAGCGGTCCGGCAAGAAGAGGCCGTTTCGATTTGTATTGCACGCGTAGCAAGCCGGCGATGAGCATGCGGGCATGTGAGGCCATTTCAAGCCCAAAGAGAGTGCAGGCAGTTGCAGAAGCGGAAGATCTACAGGCACTCACAACGACAGTGCAGCATGCGAGCCTTGACTGCGCATCAGTTTCGTAATGTGTCCACATGACAGAAGCGAGCAAGTCAGGAACGTGGTGGGAAGCAAGAGCGGAACGCCGTCAGCTGATCCAGAAGAGCAGGCTAGTGGTCCGGGAAAAGTCATTTAGTGAGGCTGTTGGATGTCGGTTGTTGCACGCTGGGATGGCAGGAGTTGAGCAGCCAGCCAGGAGGAACAAGTGCTGGCAAGGAATCCCAAGCGTTTGGAGCAGCAGAGAACTTTCCTTGCCAGCCAGTCAGCGAGCAAGACCGACAGATCCAGGCATTCCAGTTTGTTGTTGGCTGTTTGCGTTGCGGGTTCAAGTCACTGCTCGGATGTGACTGAGTCAAGCGAAGGCTGTTGAGACATCAGCTGCGTTCGTGGCGACCGCTCCGTCGGAGAGTGGAGTGAGCCTTGCTTGCAGCGCAGTGCTGCGCAAAGTGCATTCCGTTATGTACCCCAGCGACACGGCGAGCAAGCTGAGTAAGCTGAGGATTCGAGACAACTTTGCGCCGGCAGTGCCACCGGCCGACCGCGAAGAGCAGGCAAGTGGCCAGTACAACTCGGTTTGGCGATTTAGCTTGCATTGCTGTCACTGTCGTTGGGGCCAAATTAGGAGATGAGTCTTGAGAAGGTCTCCGAGAGTCGTGTTTCCCAGCATGTCCTGCAAGCAACGACTCCTTGGCGGCATTTGCCTTGGGTCCACGTGCTGCGAGATGATGTTTGGACTCATGTGAGGAATGACTCCGTAGACCAGTGCGTGTTGGAGACAGCGGTCCGGCAAGAAGAGGCCGTTTCGATTTGTATTGCACGCGTAGCAAGCCGGCGATGAGCATGCGGGCATGTGAGGCCATTTCAAGCCCAAAGAGAGTGCAGGCAGTTGCAGAAGCGGAAGATCTACAGGCACTCACAACGACAGTGCAGCATGCGAGCCTTGACTGCGATCAGTTTCGTAATGTGTCCACATGACAGAAGCGAGCAAGTCAGGAACGTGGTGGGAAGCAAGAGCGGAACGCCGCCAGCTGATCCAGAAGAGCAGGCTAGTGGTCCGGGAAAAGTCATTTAGTGAGGCTGTTGGATGTCGGTTGTTGCATGCTGGGATGGCAGGAGTTGAGCAGCCAGCCAGGAGGAACAAGTGCTGGCAAGGAATCCCAAGCGTTTGGAGCAGCAGAGAACTTTCCTTGCCATCCAGTCAGCGAGCAAGACCGACAGATCCAGGCATTCCAGTTTGTTGTTGGCTGTTTGCGTTGCGGGTTCAAGTCACTGCTCGGATGTGACTGAGTCAAGCGAAGGCTGTTGAGACATCAGCTGCGTTCGTGGCGACCGCTCCGTCGGAGAGTGGAGTGAGCCTTGCTTGCAGCGCAGTGCTGCGCAAAGTGCATTCCGTTATGTACCACAGCGACACGGCGAGCAAGCTGATTAAACTGAGGATTCGAGACAACTTTGCGCCGGCAGTGCCACCGGCCGACCGAGAAGAGCAGGCAAGTGGTTCCTCTCGGTTTGGCGATTTAGCTTGCATTGCTGTCACTGTCGTTGGGGCCAAGTTAGGAGATGAGTCTTGAGAAGGAGACCCAAACATCTCTCTCCGAGAGTCGTGTTTCCCAGCATGTCCTGCAAGCAACGACTCCTTGGCGGCATTTGCCTTGCGGTCCACGTCCTGCTGCGAGATGATGTTTGGACTCGACACCTGCGAGGAATGGCTCTGTAGAGCAGCGCGCGTTGGAGACGGTCGGGCAAGAAGAGGCTGTTTGGAATGGCAGTAGGCAGTTGCTCAAGACTTGAGGTTTGGAATGCTTGGAATGCACAGGACGTCTTGAGGAGCTCAGAGCAAAAAGGAGATGGAGAAGTCAACAAGGAGCTTCCGGAGCCGCCACTGTTGCCCTGTGCAAGCCGGGCGTGCCTGAGTTCCCAACCAGGCGAGCGAGAGGACGGAGGTGCATATGACAGCTGTGGGCCATGGGAGTCTTTGCTGCAGCAGTGATTTGGGATGGGCAAGCAGTGCAAAATGATTCGTCAGAGCCTGCATCCGTCAAGGCTTGCTTCTTCTTTGCCCGAGGAGCAGGTCGAAGTTTATGCAGGTACGATGCAGTAAAATGTACCCGCGAATTTTGTTTTGCTCGAGTTGCCAGGTGCATGCAGGGATCCTGACAGCTTTGCTCCGTGGGTTTCCATCTTGGCTTTGCCGAGAGGGAGTTCAAGTTTTGTAGCTTCTGTAACTCCGCTCGAGCGCCGTGAGGCTACTGGTGTCCATGCGTTTGCTTTTCAGCCAGGCACGGCCGAGGCAGCCGTTGTTTAACTAAATCCCTAACTAAATCTTTGCTTTGGAACAGGCCTGTCTAGCATGGCCCTGCACGAACTCCGCAAGGCTTACGGCAGCTCATGACGTGCTCTGATTATTTGTTCGCTCACGCCAAGCAATGGCTTTCTCAGGCATGTGAGGATCTGGGGTTACCGAGCAACGGAAGCAAGGAGGCAAAATTTTTCCGTTTTGCCACGAAGCTGTGCGTGATGCCAACAAGCCTCCACGCATGTGGCCAGGCATTGATGAATCGGCTTACATTCGAGATCGAAGCAGCCGCAACCTGAGTCCCTTAGTTTCTTGGAATGGGGGGGACGATGGCCGGCAGCACTTCGCATCATTAACTCTTGGCACAGAGGCCGCAACTCCTCCTTGCACGCAGACTCAGAATGAAACCGGTCCTGCTTTGGGAGGTGGGCTCCAAGATTCGATCTGTCACATGCTCGTAGGACGAGCACCGGCCTGCAGGTGATTTGGCCTTGCCAGACAGCCTCCCTGAGCCAGCGATGGACACTGCAGGCCCCATGGCCGCAGGCAGTGCAGTGTGGCTGTTGTGATTCTCGGTTCGCAGGCCGACAGTGTGTACTTCAACCCGAAACGGTGCTTGAGTCGCAAGGCCTTTGTTGTGATTGCACGCTTTCACCGCGCAAGAGCTTTCGGCAATGTTTTCCGTGAGGCGTCGATGGACAGAAGTTGGGGCCAATCTGCCTTGTTGCACACCGTCGGGGCAATGGTCTTCGGCTTAAAAGGTACATGTTACAAATGCGGTTGCGGAGGGCGAAAGTGGAACTTGAAGCATCTTAAGTTGCATGCAAAGCGATGGAGTGAGCACGATAGGTTCACAGATGTGGAGAGTAGGGCTCCTGTTATGTCGTGGAGGCTTAAGCCGCGCTCTCGAGTTGTCTGCAGAGATCTTCTCACCATCGCCAGAACACTGTTCTTTTGCTTGGGCCTTGTAGCTCTGCCAGGTCGCAAGGCGACCAGGAAGCTGCCAAACCTGACATCCCAGCAAAGGCTGGGAAGGATTAGCACAAGATGATCCCTTGCCTCCGCGTAAAGTTGTGGCACGCAACAAAATCTGGAAGCTTCTGGTCACCTTATGAGTAATCTTATTGTACGGAACTGTATCTTGCGCACATGGTGTATGTATATCATATATACATGTATATCTATCTATATATATATATATATACATACATGTGTACAGTAGTATATACACTCAACGCATACATCAAAAAACACATACTTACCGACGTACATGCATGCATACATCCATACACCCATGCATACACATTCACACATACACATCCGCATACACATGCACGTGCACATGCATTTGTAGATAAATAACATATACACATATACACGCATATGCAGATATATATATATATATATATATATACATACATATCTACATATCTACATATCTACATATCTACATATCTACTTATCTACATGCATACATATATACATATATACATATATACATATATACATATATACATATATACATATATACATATATACAGGGTGGTCACGGTTCCTTTCGGTACGGTTTGCAATGAACCGAACCGTTTATGAACCGTTTGCGGTTCGTGCGCGGTTGGGTTCGCACGGTTCCGGTTTGGCGGTTCGCGCGGTTCCTTATAATGGTTGTACTGAACCCTAAGCTTGAGCCCCTCCAAACCCGGAAACCTAAACCCTCGCTTCCAAATCCTGGCAACGAACTTGGACGTGACGACGGTCGTCTACGAGCACAACAGCAATGTGCGGCCGGCTTGTTTGTCTTATAGGCTGTTTGCAAACACTTTGTCTCTTCGAGTGCGAGCCGAAGTCATAGTGCCATGGGCCGTGATCGATTCATATATGCTGGCCGATGTGGCATGTTTTTTTCTTGCGGCGTGCTCGGCTCCTTGAGTAGTAAATAAGAGGAACAATCACGGCAAATCAAGCAGATCGGCAGCACTTGCATTTCCAGCCAGTGCAGCATTTTCCTTGCCACTTTGCAGCCCAAAGAAAATGGTGAACGGGTCGATGGCGCTTTATCTTCTTTTGGCATAAGCCAGCAACTTTGAGAAAGCTTTAAAGCTAAGAACCAGAAGGTTGCACAGCATGTCGGGTCGCTCATTCGCCGATGGTTTTTTTCATGCGAAGAGGTCTTTAACCAAGGACTTCAGATTCTGCAAGCTCTGCTGGGAGTCAGAGCCTGCAGAGGAGACTGTGTCACAGTGTCCGAACCCGTCTGCAAAATGGTACGGAGTGGTGAAATGTGTTGGTGGATCCACGGCAGCAATGATCAACCACTTGCGCGCCGTTCATCCTGAGCAGCTTCCGGACTCGGTCTCTGTAGACCGTTCCCAAAACAAGCGTGTTGCAGTGGACCCTGTGGCCCTTCACGGCTGGAGCACCCACATGGTGTTGGGGCAATTGTTGCCTGTACGTGCAGTGGAAGCAGGCCGGAAGGTTTCGCACAGCTTGGCGGAAAAACAGCGCTCCAGACAGAGGTGGAGTGCCAAATCAAGGAGATAAAGATGGAGCTGGCCTCATGTATTGTCAATGCCCGAGAATTCGGCTGTAAATTTGCAATTTCTTGCGACTCATGGAAAACGAAGTGTGTGCGGCAACAACACTATGTGTGTGTTCTAATGGACTGGGTGGATGCGAGTTTTCAGCGCCAATCCTGCTGCGCATATGTCGCTGAGATCAGCGTACCGCGCACCGTAATTTCCAGGTCTTTTTTTTTTAAGACATGCTCGGTTGGCTGGAAACAAGGTTATATTTTGCACTGGGACCGATGAGCATGGGCAAAAAATTGCAGTACAAGCAGATAAAGAAGGGCTTTCGCCAATCGATATCTGTACTCGATATAAGTTGGGCTTTGAAGCCTTAAATCAGCGACTTATGATAGCTAATGATTTGTTTATAAGAACAACAGATGAATGTCACATTGAATTTGCTCAATTGCTCTGGAAAAAGCTGGAGCAGAACAGTTCGAGCTTCAGAAATCCGACATTGTGGCCCTCGTTACCGATCACAAAAGCGCTCTAAGGCGCGCTTCGAAGGACATGGAGGTAAATGGAATTGGCTGCTCATGTCACGCTTTACAGCTGCCTCTGAAGCTGGGATGCCAAGACACCCTGCGCCGAAGAGATCTTGCACCGCTAGCAACTTTGCTCGGTAGTAGCTTTTACTTTTTTTGTACATGGATGTCGTTTTAAACCTAACGGTTAGCTTCTACCTCCCGGAAAACTCAGTGAGTAAGGCAAAGAAACGCTGACTTCCTGCACGAGGATTTGCAGAAGGTAATTGCGAAACACGTTCTTGGCACCAGTGCCGAGGATCTCTTACACCTCGCAGTCTATATCGACCCGCGGTTTCGCAATCATGCCTGCTTGAAGGCCCAGGAGCGTGCCAAGGCCCGGGATCAGTTGGCGCGATGGGCTTATGACTTGCACGATGCCACATCTGGTCTGGAAGAGCATTTCCGTGTGGTCGCTGCGCATCCCGACAATCGAACTTTCAAGCAGCTGCTTGATGAGGCTGGGCTAAACCAGCGTGGTGGCCGCGGCCGCGGCCGCGGCCGCGACAGCCATGGCAGGGGTCGGTCTGGACGAGGCCGTGGCGGCAAACTCGATCATGCCAGAGACCTGCAGCACCAAGTTTCCTCAAACAGCACGTCGTGTCCTGAAGCAGTGCAACAGTGCCGACAAGTTCTTGTTCGGTCCTACTGATGTCCAGCCCGGCATTCATGTAGAGGCTTCTAAGGAGGCGGATGCCAAGAAAATCAAAGATTCCATCCAACAGCAGATTCAGCGCATGGAAGGTTTGCCTACGCAGCCCTCCCTCGCGCTTGACGTGCTGGAATGGTGGAAGATGCGGGCGGTGGAGTTTCCTGACCTTACCCACCAGCAATGTATTTGTTGTCCATCCCCCCCAGCTCTGCCTCTGTGGAGAGGAGCTTCAGCAGCGCAGGTCGCTTCGTGGACAGGAAACGTCCTCGCTTGAGGGCACGCACTGCCTCTGACATCCTGTTTGCGCATGAGAATCTGAAGCGTGGCTGGACTGGTGAGGAGCACTTTAAAAAACGTGTCAAACTGCATCATTCCGAGCCCGAGGCTACGGATGCCGGTGTGTGGATGGTTCTCTGTTGCTTGCGACGACGACGCCTGGGAGCCGAAGCACTGCTAGGGGAGCGTGAGTGCAAAAGACTGTGAGTGAGTGCTTGCGCCTGCTTTCCTAATTCTTGCACTGCCCACGGTCCTTTTCCAGTACATACCTTGACAGACCTGCGCAGATAATCCTTTCGCAGTCTTGAACATTCCCAACGCGTGCGCGACAGGTGAACGACTTGAACATGGACGGACGTGTGCCGAAAAGCTCGAGACACTGGTGCGCCCTTGCGGGCTTGACTTCTTGAGGTTTGGGGATGGTTTTGCAGGGACGCCTATAATCAGCCAGCCTAGACTGAATTCTTCATGAATGCGCTTTCCGCGTGGAAAGTTCAACGGCACATTTGATCCGGCTTCAGGTGCGTTTGGGGGGCATGCAAGGGAGGACTACAGCGGAGGGGTGTGGAGGTTTTGCAGGGGGTTGGCACGCAGCGAACTTGGGGGCAGGCTTTGGAGGGCGGGGCTGTGGGGGACCGAATGGGCGGGTGGGCCTACGTACCCGGTGAGGCCAGGCAGGGGCGGGTCGGCCACCCGGGCAGGCCGGGGACCAAAGTTCAACGGCGCGCCATTTTGGACTCAAAGCCGTTGAACTTTGGCTGTGGGGGGCAGCCTTTGGAGGCCGGGGCTGTGGGGCGGCTGGGCGGGCGGGCGCGGGGAGGGCTGGGCGGGCCTACCGGGCGGGCCGGGCGGGGGCCCAAAGTTCAACGGCGCGCCATTTTGGACTCAAACGCGCGGTTTTCCTCCAAAAACACGCGGGCGGGCCTACCGGGCGGGTTGCTGTTGGGGGCAGCCTTTGGAGGCCGGGGCTGTGCCTGTGGGGCCGGGCCGGGAGGGCTGGGCGGGCCCACCGGGCGGGTTGGGCGGGGGCCCAAAGTTCACGCTCCATTCTCCTCCAAAACACGCGCCGTTGAACTTTGGCTGTGGGGGCAGGCTTTGGAGGCCGGGGCTGTGGGGGCCGACATAGGGGCTTCAAACGCCTGCCAAAGAGCACGCCGTTGAACTTTGCACAGAATAATACCCTGCCTAAACCCTCTTGCAACTTCCCGGTGCATGGCTCAGGAAAACATCAGCAACTGGTGTTCAGTTACGCATTTTCAGAGACCCCTAAACCCTAAACTCCCTCCCAAACTTGTTCTGTTCGAACCTCTTGCATCGTCTGCAAATAGTACGTATGTAGCTTTCCGTCGCGGGCCTGTGGTTGTAGTGCCACTCGTGAGTGAGATGAGCAAGCAAAACCTGACTGCTTTTCAGCAGGAGTTTGCTCTCCCTCCACTGAGTGACCACGATGCATGGGCAAAGTTGATCGAGAGGGCTAGGCACTTCCTCGATTCTGAGACGCCAGCCGAAAAGCAGCTGCGCTGGCGGCAAGCCATAGACGCGTTGGAAGGCAAGTGTCTTGGCCCTCGTCGCGAAAGAATCCACATGCTGGCTGAGGAAGTGTTGCAGAGCCAGCTCCCTCCGGAAGAGCGCCAACTGCTGGCAGGGCTGAAGCTTTTCAACCACTTCGCAAAGGAGCTCGGCTTGGGTGGACAATGCGCCACCTGTGGTTGCCTTCATCCACCTGAAGCAGAACTGGTCGCGGCGAGCTGTGTGCAGAAGTTGCATTCCGACTGCATCATATGTGGGGACTTAGCTATTCGCCCACGCCTCTTCCGACTGCAAGAGGGCGAGTGGTGTCTTGCAAGACAGCTAGAGGGCGACAGTCCGAAGTTGCAGCCCCTCTCGTTGGACCCAGAAGCAGAAGAAGCCGACGGAAAACGGCTGGAGCACTTGGACAAGGCAGAAGAGGACGATCAGGGTCTTATAGGGTTGGCTTAGGGTTTGTAGTATGTTGGGGTGGGTTGC